TTTATACCCTGAACAGGGTATATTAATTTTGTCACGAAGTTTGTAACACCCAGAAGAAAGCGTCGGAGACCCTATAAAGTATATATATAAATGATCAGTATGTTGAGCTGATTCGATTTAGCCATGCCCGTCTGCCCGTCTGTCTGTCTGTCCGTCTGTCCGTCTGTCTGTATATATACGAACTAGTCCCTCAGCTTTTAAGATATCGTTTTGAAATTTTGCAAACACCATTTTCTCTTCAAGAAGCTACTCATTTGCCGGAACTGCCGATATCGGACCACTATAACATATAGCTGCCATATAAACTGAACGATCGGAATCAAGTTCTTTTATGGAAAACTTTCACATTTGACAAGACATATTCASGAAATTTGGTATAGATCATTTTCTAAGGCAACAATGTAATCTCCGAAGAAATCGTTCCAATCGAGCTATAGCATATAGCTTCCATACAAACTGAACATATAGTTACTAACATAAATGCACCTGGGAAGGGTATTTAGCTTCGGTGCAACCGAAGTTAACGTTTTTTCTTGTTTTAATCACTCTTGCTGAGCCAAAGGTTCATAGTTTTGATTTATGATTATTTAAATTAATATTAATTAACAATTGGTATATTGATAAGTTTTTTATCTCGCTTTAGTAACAACAAATCAAACTTATGTAGGAAAAAAAGAGAAAAAAATGCTACCACCCGCCTTTTCAGTCTTTCCTTAGAGATTTCACAGATTTCATAAGCCATGCGCGTCATTATATTTTTCATGCATAGCGCACAGCAATAACACTGCCACTTAATCCAACTGACTTATTTGTCAGGCCGTCAGACAGCAAGGCGTTGATGCGCTTGCGATTCGTGAAAGCAACACAGTTGTAAACTAGTTAAGCATAAAAATACGCAAATGGCTATAAAACACATAACCGACTTGTATGCAGGGGCAAAAATTTATAAGCACGCGATTAGCATTTTTTGCAGACTTCCCGAAACGTGGAAGGTAGCGTAATGCGAGTCAAGAGTTTTTTTTTTAATTTTGGCAAAACTTTTTATATTTTTAGCGGCGTCGTGTTTCTTATTTCTTACGCATTATGTGTTTATATAAATATATTCGCTTTTTCATTTTTATTTTTAATTTATTTTATTTTTATTTATTTACTTAAGCATTGGTAATTTTGCACACTAATCACATTCGCTTTCGTTATACTTTAAATTCGGCAGTTTTTATTCAGCGCATACTAAATTTGAATTTTGCTGATTTCCGGTTCAATTTTTTTCCTGCACCATCCGAAACTGCTTAAGCCTCTGCTGTACTTCATTTGTTTTATTGCCGTAATTGAACTTACGTACTTTTACTTCTTTACTCTATTGTTGTTTAATATTTTATAAGTTCAACTTTCCCCTATTTGTTTGGAAAGTGATGCTTATCTGTTGCATACGAATTTAGATGGTTTTTATCTTATGTAATTTTGCATATATTTTTTAAATTTGTTTCTCAACTGTTCAAAATAGTAAGTACTACCATCACCATATATATTATTTGTTTATTTATGCCATGTTGCGTAAAATTGTATAGCCGTTTTGCTTCATTTAATTTTGGCTCAATTATTTAAGTCACAGAGCACACATTTTTTTACTTGGGATTTACTATACATTTTAATACTTTTGATAGCACTTGTTATATATGTAAGCGCTGCGTATAATAGTTAGTTCCGGTAGACGTCGTGCGATATAAATTTAAATCGATAAGAAATAATAATTAGTTTCATGGCAAGTGACAACTCTATTAAAATAAATGTAAAATTCTTCAGCAATACTTTGCTAAAACTTAAAATTTATATTGTGCTGATTTTATGTAGTTGTGGGGCTCTTAACAGCCCATTGCCTTATCCGCATTCATGCTGTAAGACTCGAAATCTTACCAGACGCCATCTGCAGAGCTGTATGGTGGAAACAACTCAACACTTCCGCCTTGACTGTCCCGCATTTGGGAAGTCAAGACTTAAAGACTACAGAGCGCACACCTTCAGACAAACTTCAAAACTTCAAAAACTACATACAAATAAGTATACAGAATACATATTTTGCCTAAATGTCGAAATGGCAGTTTTGTTGATTGTTGTTTTGAAAATCTTGTTCCGGCAGTTGTGGAATTATGCGGAAAAGACGTTCCTTACATAACAAGCAAAGGACTAATCATAAGATTCAATAGGTAAAAATTTGATCTCAAAAGCGATCTCGATCTCGATCTATTGTATAAAAGTCAGTGCAGTGAGTGTTCGACCACAAAATTAATGCATGAAAAATCTTTTGCGAATATGCGAATTATAGAGTTCAATAACAGACCTCCGTCTGAGTTTCTACCCAGTCGAAGTGCTCATAAGATCAGTTATCATCAGAGTCGATTGCAAAACTGTGGTACTTACATACATTAGATGAATGCTGCAGGTACGTTCAATCAGGAAATTAATATATGAAATACTATTTAAGAAAGTATGCAAAGTAGACGTTTCATAAAGTTATAATAGGTTGTCAAAAAAGTCATGCGGTATTTTTATTGAATTTTCAATTGTTCATAAAACTTTTTTTGATGACTCATGCCCAGCTCTTGACCGGTGCTACGGTTGCTACTATGCCGGCCTCTTTCGGCCAATTCAGCGATTTTATCGCAATTTTCGACGACAGGCCTTCCTTAAGTCACGAACGACTTGAAAGAAACGACAATCCATCAAACACGTGTTAGCGCGTGAAATGTGGTTTCCAAAAAGGTATAGCATGACCTGATGCGACGAATATAATTAGAGCCATAAGATCCCGTAAAGTTAGAGTTGATAGCAATAGTAGGAGAACTCCAGACGGGAGTTCGATCAGAAAAATAAAGCATGATGATGAGGTCGCTTAAATGTAAAATAATCAAACTCAAACAATTTTCGATTTTTAGAACCAAGGACACAGTTGAGCTTCCAAAATAATGTACGCCTTACTGAAAACAGTTATTGGGTATAATATTTATGCTTTCTCTAGAAAACTTAAGAACCATCATATGTATATTTATTTTATAAATATATTTACTATACTTTTTCATCCATTATATCATCATCATATTTCTATTATTGTCGTCATAGCTGATCGATGCGCAACTGATTTGCAAGCTCAGTTTCAGCTCTCTTGAAAACAAATTATATGTGACAGCAAAAAAAAGGTCCTTCAATAGACGAGTTCTTGTTTTTGCAGCATTAAAGTGGTATAATCGCTTTCTATTCACAGTTTGTTTTATTATACCAATTTATGTGTTTTCTAGGTATAATTAATTGGTTCAAGAAGTGAAGAAGACAGTGACAAATCCTCAAGGTTAAGAAAGCTATACTTTTAGACCCGAAATGTGCTTATTAAAGCAACAACATTTTTACCACTTTAAAGTGGTATAATCGCTTGCTATTCGACCGACATTTTATTATATCAGTTTATGGTATATGCCAATAATTTATTAATTCGAAAAATGGAAAAGAGTGTGACGCATCTTAATCTTTATTAAAGTAAGGACAATGTTAGAAAAAGAAGAACTCATATTCTTGCTTGAATTTAGTGATTTAAATTGTTAAAAAAAAAAATTGGTTTTATGGTATTAGGCAAGTCTGCTTGACTATTTTATTAAGTTTACTTTGTGAATGTTTAAATATTGTGTTTTTTTTTTACTTTCATCACTGTTTTTTTAATCGTTAATTTTTTTTAATCGATCGCTAAGAAAATAATATAATATTATTATTAAAAATCGATATTTCTACTTTCTAAAAATGTCAGTAAAAAACGGCGGAAAATAATTTTAAMAATTAGTAAGAAGTTTAGAACCCCCTCCATTCCCTCCATTTATATATTTTATGTGTGTATACATTTGTTCATTTTACGAAAAATATTCCCAATCTAACCTCAAAGTTGATCTGAACTAAGATTGATATAGACTGTTCTTTTAATCAACGCTTGACTTCATAAGCGACACTTGAAGAAAGTTTTCTAAACACAAAGAAGCCTTCAATTCTTTGTCGGTGCAGAATTTACAAACGTTTTGGTCATGACGCAATTCACTGGCTGTAAACGCTATGCTTATTGGCGCACCCTGTGCGTTGGTAAGCATCCACATTTGAAGACATTTCAATGACGTTATGCAGACCTGTTGAAAAATATTATCTAAAAGTCGCGTGGTGCGGCATCCAAAACTCCTTCGCTCATGAATTTGTCTTAAAAAAAAACACGCAACCAAGTACAATTAATCGGAAAAAAGATTCGCATTTAGTAAAAGTAGTAAAACTGGCTCGAATGTGCAGGTTGATTTGCATATCTCAAGGTGATAAATAGTTTAACGAGTCTGCGCTTTGAGTGCCCGTTGGCTGAAAATGACGGCTAATTATTTGCTTTGCGGCAAGCAGCTGGTGTGTATGTTAATAGTTGTTGGTGTTAATTGCAGTCAAGAATTTATGGAAATAACGGAGTGCCAACTGTGGGTACACATGCAAAGGAAGGTAAATGATATGGGAGAACTAGAACTTGTTCGCAAGTTGCGGCAAAGTGGTGATGACGAAGTTACTTGGCTTGAACTGCGGCATACATTTTTTTCTAGGTTTAACAATGAACTTAGAAACAACTACTTAACAGCTTCTGATACCATAAAGCATCATTTAAAAGTATATTCTTTGTGCAAATCAATCGAAAGCAGCATTTAAAAATATATTTTCCACCAAATCAATCGAAAGCGTTTGAAAAATCACCAGCGGTTTTCGCACCAAAACACTTACCTTCCTCAAGAGCTTTTTATTGCGTATCAGAATCTCCTCAGCACTGCTGTTTCGTATGAATTGCATTTGTCGCTCGCGTTCACGCATGCGCTGCCGCAGCCACTGCTGTTCCTGCTGTTGCTGCTGGCGCGCAGCGTAGCGCTCACGCTCCCGCGCATGCTGTCGCTCCACCTCGAGCGCATATTTATCTTTTGCACCACTTTTTTCCGCGCAGTAATGACGCGCGTCACAATTACAAAAGTCATTAGTAGCCACAACGCTTTTACTTTTATTGCCGGCTGCCGCTTTGCAATCATCATTATTACTTTCACTATCGCCACTCGGCGTATGCACGCTGGCGTGCACTTCGATGCGTGACACGCAATGATCATCATCCGTTTGCGCACCACCACCGCACTCATAGTAAGAACAATTGTCATCATCACAACTAGTGAGACTGCAGCAACAATGCTCGTTGTCATCGCTACTCGGTTCGCTGTGTTCAACTGGCGCGCTGCCTCCTAATTTGCTCTTTTTGTGTGCTGCATTCCCAGCCCCCTCTAAAGTTACATCAGCGTCTTGCTGGAAATATGTGTTATTCCAGAAGACGCCGTCAATGGGACCGTTGCTGCCAATGCTTTGACGGTTTGTTGCTTGCTGTTCGCGCTCATCGCCGCACGCAACGCAGCTAACCTCACTGAAGGTGCCCATTGAGGGCGTCGGTGAGAAGACGCATGCACGCAGCGTATCGCTCTGTGTGCCGCGGCTACTCTTAGTAGCGCCTGAGATATGATTGTAAAAAATACCCGCTTTGCGCATGTGCTCTAAACTGCAATAGTAGTCGGTATCCTCGGATTCATCTGCTCGCTCATCTAACTGATTTTTTGCCACCGCGTTGGCATTACGGTTCGCGTGGCGACAATTACATTTGCCCTCACTACTCGAAGCGCTACTCGAAATTGTTGTGTAGGAGCTGCCAGATGTTGACGCCTTGCTGGCGCTAGTGAGTGCGGAGGCTTCTGAATTCAGCGAGCATCCCGAGGTTTGCGAAGTGTATGAGCACATCGATATGGATGAGGCGCGCGCTGGATTGACGCCCACGCCGCCACTGTTAGTGGAACTGCGCACGAAAATCTTTACACTATGTTTATCGTTGTCACCGATAGCGCTGTGTTTACCGTTGTTACTTGCATGCTGTTGACGCGCGCTGGCCGCCTTTGATGAGACGCGCAGCGGTGGCGATGGCGGCACCATTAACGAGTCCAAATCGCAGGTATTTTGTTGCTCGTGCAACCAAGTATCATCGATTTTTATTGTTGTAGCACATAACGGTTTGCGTTCACTACCGTTCAGTTTGTTGCCACCACAACTGTGATTGCTATTGTTGTTGCTGCTGCTGCAGCAACTCGTGTTATTGTAAATGCGCTGTTCGTTGATTTTGAGGTCATTTTCGATGTTGCACTGTTTGGTGTGGTTGGCGGCATGGCTGGCGCTTGCGGCCACAGTCCGGTTAGACAACTTATCAGCGGCGCCCACTTTGTTGCACATGTTGTTTTTCGCCACGGCCGCGGTTAATAGCTCATCCGTCGTGGCCTTCGTTAAATTTTTTTTTGCGAAATTTTGCAAATCGTTTGGATCGCCACCGGGCGCTTTGCCGACGCGTATCTTAATTTGCCCCTCCTTCTGTAAGTCACCATCCAGTTCTTTCAGTTTTGGCACTGGCACAGTGGTGGTTAGGTGCAGCTTGTGTTGCATTACTGTTGTGTCAGCGCCAGTTTGGTGCAGCAGTATTTTCACACAGTCCGCGCATTTCTCAATATTCTTCATGTTGTTCTCTATTGTTTTGCGCTCCTTAATATCGGTGGATGAGGAGACGCCAGAGTCAGAGCAGCAGCTTTCGAGCGATAGGCGCTTGCGCGTATTCAACTCCTCATCGGATTGCTGTGGCGTGCTCGTGCTGCTGCTGCCGCCAGCTGTCTTACTCGCCACCGCCGACATGGGGCAGTTGGTGAAGGTGCAGTTCTTGTAGCCACATGTGCGTCGGCTGGCGTCGTGCGTAGGCTTCGCAGCTGCCTCCTTCGTTGGCTTGTGTAACGCGTTGCATTTCGTTTCACGTATTTCGTGCGCGCTTTCCTCCAAAGTTCTGTCATTATTATCAGCTTTTGACTCATTGAGCTGATTAATTATCAGCAGCGGCTGGCGTTTCTTGCGTATATGCACGCGCTCCATTTTGATCTTTTGAAAATTTGTCGCAACATGCTGGCGCGTCTGCTTGGACAGGTGCTTATCGATTTTATCAAGCTCATCGCAACTATCGGACTTATGCATATTATCGCGTTCAGGTTTATCTGTCGCTTCCAATGCGTGCGATTTACTGGCGCGCAGTTTGATTTTCTCACCCGCGCAGTGCATGCGAAACTCGTCGGTAACCTGTCGCTGCAGCTGATGTGTGCGCGCCTGCTCATGATCGAACATTTGGCGTATGCGCCGTTGCAGTTGCTCATTTGCCTCATTGTAAAGTAGCGCGGAGCTGGTGGAGAGTCGTTGTTGTTGTGTTTGTTGCTGTTGTGGTTGTGGTTGTATTTGTTGTTTTTGTGTTTGTTGCTCCTGCGTTTGTTGTTTTTGTGCTAGTTGCTGTTGTGGTTGTTGCTGTAGCGCTTCACTAATGGGCTTCGGTATGCGCGACACTTGTTGCCGTTGTTCAGGTGATGAGCGCGGTAGACGCACTGCATCAGCGGTAACGTGCGCTTTATGATCTTCACTTGCGTTGTTGTTACTTTCCAGCATGCAATCATAGCAGTCACCAGGCGCGCTTGAGTTACTTAAACGATTCACACGCTCGTCAATGCGCGGCAACATATCGCGCGCGCGCATGCGCATATTGGGTTCCTTTATAGGCGTTGGCGCCGCGCGTAATGGTTGTGCCACTGTAGTGGTTTGCGTTGCATTACTTGATTGCGGCGGTGCTGGCGCGCGGTGCTGTTTTGTTGAACGCCGCTGTTCCGGTCGTTTAGCTTGCTCGAAGAGACGATTAATTTGCGTTACAGCTGCCGGTATTGGCTTGCCGCCGGACTGCTGTGAAGCGGTGGCCGCTGTAGCGTGTTTTTCACCAGCAACTACATTCACAGTTGCGTTTTGCTGTTGTTGAGGCTCGCAATCCGTTTTTTCAATACGCGCTATGCGATCGGCGCGCGACTTAATACCAGCGCGCGCAATATCGCGGCGTATATCACAAGTGGAGATGCGCGCCCGATAATTCCAACTGTGCGATTTCTCGCAATCAGGATATACCGTAGAGGCGCCATCATCTAAATCTTCATCTGAGGAAGTTGAAGACAGCGTGGCAGATTCACAGGAGGAGTTGCAACACGACTGTACATCCACGTAATCTTGATCGTCAACAGAGTGCGCAGCTTTGTTCACGCTAGTAGTGGCATGTGTTGGCGCTTGCTGTGTGTGCAATTTCGGAGCAGTGGCAGTGCACGCCAGCTTTTGTTGTTGCGCATGTTGAGCTTTTGCTTGTGGCATTTGATGCTGCAAAAACTGCCATGACTCAATGGTGGGCGGCGGCATTGGTTGCTTGGCGCGCTCTGACATTTTGCTCTTAAGCGGTGTGGCGCGTTGCGGTGCATTGAGCGCGCCCACATTTGTTTTACTTTGATGGTTTGTGTTAGCTTTGGCGCCAACGAACTGACTGTGACTACTGTCAATAGCCTCCTTGTAGCCTGGATATTTGACACCTACAGCCATAAGCGCGTGACGCTTTTGTTGCGCCGTTGCAGCGGTGGGCCGCGGCATGCGCACTTCCTTGCACTGTTGTACATAGTTCACCTTGAGCAATTCCATTTGCGGTATTTCGGCGCTGGACATGCGCGAGTCCAGCGTGCTATCCAATGCCATGCTGGCGAGCGTCTCGCAGGATGGCTTGCGCTGCAATTTGTTGTGTGGCATTTTTATTGCTTTGCACTAGTTTCTTGCACTTTGATACTCATTAACTGGCGAAGGTAATTTACATATTTATTTTCTCGTTTCGCAAAGTGTTGCAATTAATTGATTATTTTCATTGTATGGCAATTACACTTTGCACTTTGGCATGCGCGTGCGCGGCGCCGCATTCAAATACACTTCGTACACTATTTCGCTTTTCTATGTTATTTTTTATCGATTTCGTTTTCGTATTGGCTGATTTTTTTTCTTTGTCGTAGAGTCGTAATATTTTTGCTTATCACTTTCAACACAATAAACAAGTAATACGTTTATTTCAATATTTTCACAATTTTATAAAACCCAATGAGACGGTTTGAAATTTGGTTCGGCTTAAAGGTAATCAATAATAGAAACCAAGCATCATTGAACCACAAAACTTAACGCTAATAGCATTCACACTTTTTTTTTGTTTTTAGGATTTATTTATTTCATTTTATTAATTTTTTTWTCGAACACTGCGTAGGCACTATTGCCCATTGTTGTTGGCACATTCATCACGTCTAGTTTACAATTGATTTGTTTTCATTGCTACCAATAATTGTTGGTTTTGTTAGTTGTGTACAACACTCTTTAGTTTCAACAATAACCAACACCATTTCAACCGTTCAGCGTTGTTAACTCGTCAATGTTTCGGCTTATACTGTTTGCTGCACTAAGCCGAGTTTGTGGTCAACAGCAACAATCGGTATGAAGTGATGGAGTAAGCGAACAAACGGTTCGCATGTGTTTGATCGAACATGTTCGAAGTATGATGGAGCGCAAACAGAGCATTCTTGTATCTCTGGTTCGATTGTATTCAGAAGGAGTTGCCAAAGATTGTGTAAAGCATTGATTGCATGAAGCTTTGTTTTCATAAAAAATATATTCTCTAGTTATTTCTGTTCATTTTCTTTTTTTCTTTTTGTGGTTTTCGCTAGTTGGCACTGAGAGCGCATGGTTCTAGTTTTATTCGTCGCGTCGGGTCATGCTATACCTTTTAGGAAAGCTCATTTCACGCGCTAACACGTGCTTGATTGACTGTCGTTCGTGAGTTATAGCGTCGCAAACATGGAGCAAAATAAAAAGAAAATACGGCATATTTTACAGTACTACTATGATAAAGGCAAAAATGCATCTCAAGCCGCCAAAAAAATTTGTGCAGTTTATGGACCCGATACAGTTTCCATTTCCACCACACAACGATGATTTCAACGTTTTCGTTCTGGTGTAGAGGTGGTCGAAGTTGCGCTCAGCTCCGGAAGGCCTGTCGTCGAAAATTGCGATAAAATCGCTGAATTGATCGAAAGAGACCGGCATAGTAGCAACGGTCAAGAGCTGGGCAGGAGTCATCAAAAAATTTTTATGAACAATTGAAATTTCCATAAAAATACCATTACCTAATATCAAGTAGACTTTTCAGTTCTCTTCTTTTTATACTCTCGCAACAAAGTTGCTAAAGAGAGTATTATAGTTTTGTTCACATAACGGTTGTTCGTAAGTCCTAAAACTAAAAGAGTCAGATATAGGGTTATATATACCAAAATGATCAGGGTGACGAGTAGAGTTGAAATCCGGATGTCTGTCTGTCCGTCTGTCCGTCCGTCTGTCTGTCCATCCGTCCCTCCGTGCAAGCTGTGACTTGAGTAAAAATTGAGATATAATGATGAAACTTGGTACACGTATTTCCTGGCTCCATARRAAGGTTAAGTTCGAAGATGGGCAAAATCGGCAGACTGCCACGCCCACAAAATGGCGAAAATCTATAAAGTGTCATAACTAAGCCATAAATAAAGATATTAAAATGAAATTTGGCACAAAGGAGGGGCATATTTGGACGTAATTTTTTTGGAAATGTGGTAGTGGCCCCGCCCCTTATTAAGTTTTTTGTACATATCTCGGAAACTACTCTAGTTATGTTAACCAAACTCTACAGAGTTGTTTCATTCAGGCATCTCCATATACAGTTCAAAAATGGAAGAAATCGGATAATAAACACGCGCACCTCCCATACAAAGGTTATGTTGAAAATCACTAAAAGTGCGTTAACCGACTAACAAAAAACGTCAGAAACACTAAATTTTACGGAAAAAATATCAGAAAGAAGCTGCACCTAGGCTTTCTTTAAAAATTGAAAATGGGTCACGCCCACTTATGGACCAAAAACCATATCTCAGGAAGTACTCTACCGATTTCAATGAAATTCGGTAAAAATAGTTTCTTAATACCCTGATGACATGTTCGAAATATAGGTGAAATCGGTTCACAACCACGCCTTCATCCAATATAACGCTATTTTGAACTCCATCTGATGCCTTCTTTGTATAATATATACATTAAGAACCAATGATGATAGCTTTACACAAATACGGTATTTGATGCGAGAGTATAAAAAGTTCGGTGACACCCGAACTTTGCCCTTCCTTACTTGTTTCCTCTTGCAGTTCATGCCAAGTCGGCTTATCAATTCTAATATAGTGGTAAAGCTCTAGTCTAACCTAATGTTTTATTAAACTTTTCTGTATTCAATTCTTTCTTATCTTTATATCGGGTGATTTTTTAAGAGCTTGATAACTTTTTTAAAAAAAAAAACGCATAAAATTTGCAAAATCTCATCGGTTCTTTATTTGAAACGTTAGATTGGTTCATGACATTTACTTTTTGAAGATAATTTCATTTAAATGTTGACCGCGGCTGCGTCTTAGGTGGTCCATTCGGAAAGTCCAATTTTGG